TAAATAAAGAACCGAATCAAAATCAGTAAAAAATTCGCATTTACTATGAAAATTTCAAATTGCGATTTGTCAAGAATGGGATCAGCCAAGATTTTGATTTTTCTCGATTTTAGGAAGACACGTACCATAGTCTCACCCCCTACAGCCTGTTTTTGGGTCCATTTTCTTCGCATATTTTTCTTCTTCTTCAACACCACTGGGTCGGACTATCATCAACGCTATCCAGATTCGATTCTGGCGGGTTCGCGCCTGCGATTTTTAACGAGTTTGCACATTTTCAACCCATAGCTTTGGTCCATGGAACCCAAAGATTTGGTCAATATATACCAAAAGTTTGGTCAATGTAACCCAAAGACGAAGGAAAATAAATGTCAACTGCACGTTTGACTTTTGGTTAACTTTGTGCTCTACTTTCCTCTATTAAGGCAAAATGTCTGTTACTTTTTTTTTTACCGATGGAGCAATTGGGGGGGCCTTCGATGTCGAAAAATTTAAAACTAATGTACTGGTGCCACGGCATGGGGCAGTGTTTTTAAGCTGAGTCTAATTCACGGTGGTTTAAAGTTTTCAGATTAAAAAATCGAGTTTTAAGAAAGAGCTACCGGTAAAAGTACAAAGTTCTAATCCGTCATCTTTGAAATTCAGAATTTTTCGACTGTCAAAAAAACCTGTAAAATTTCGCACCGTTTCAAAATCTACGCTATGTTTTTATTTCTGTTACAGAAAAACCGCTGAGCGTATTTGTTGAAAATCGTGTTGCATTAAACTGTGCGAAATGAAAAAAAAAATCAATAAAAATTCCACGAAATAATCATTTTCAGTTTGCTACCGGGAAACACAATTTGATAAGAAACATCGATGGTGGAACTACCAAAGCACGTATTTCGTTTGCGACGTTTAAAAATCTCCTCCTTTACTTTACTTTTCTTGAAGAGACAAATCAACACCATTCCCTGAGGTTTTTCCAGAATTTGCTTCACACAGAAAAGAAAAGTCTCGCGCGTTTCCGAGCAATAACGTTGCGTAGTTCTCCATTTAAATAATAAAGTATGAGAGGAAGTCTTCAACGTCACAAACCGAGATACGTGGTTTGGGAGTTTAACAATCGACGTACAACTTCGCATCAAAACACGTGGTCTCAGATTCCCACCATCGCACAATGGATCGAGTCAATAGGAGAATTTGGACAACATGTGGAAACTTTGAACGCTTATAACTCCGTTTATACAAAACTTTGAGGTTCTTAAATTGGCTCCATTGGGCTCCTCGTGAAATTTTCTTCCAGAAGCACTCCTTAAAATTTGAAATGTGACGAATTAAACATCAAAATTTGCAGTTTTAATCAACAATTTCATGTCCGACCTCTCTAATTTACTCGATCCACTGTGCATCGATTCGGGCTAAGTAATCGAAAGAGAACGCTCCCGGGAAAGTTCAGCTGGAATCTTCTTTTCAGGGAAACTCTATAATGTAGGTAGTGTACGTCTGTATACGCACGTGATCGTTTACGAGGAAACCCCTCGTTTCGAGATGCGTCATCGGGAAAAATTCCCCGGAAATTTTCACGTCCTCACTCTCAGCACCTAGATTCTCCGAGAAACTTTGATCCCTAATCCCAGCGTCAGTATCAATATTTGATCATGTTCCAACGTCGCACATTGGATCGAGCCAATTAGAGAGGTCGGACATGAAATTTTTGACTAAAACTGCAAATTTTGATGTTGATGTCGTCACATTTTTAAGTTTAAGGGATGCTTCGAGAAGAAAATTTCACGAGAAAACCAATGAAACCACTTTCAGAACCTCAAAATTTTGTATAAATGGAGATAAAAGCGTTTAACGTTTCCAAATTTTGTCCGACCTCTCCTATCGACTCAATCCACTGAGCGTCGGCTCAGACACTCACGGTGGCAATATTTGCCAGTTATGGCCACGAGGCTTGGCCCATGTAAATTATAAATGTATGCAAAACAATCGATATTTATTGAAGCAGCTGCCTCACGCCTGGAATCGATACTATTAATGGGCTTAAATGACGAAGGCAAAAACGCGTTGCAAAATGACAGGGATCGGCACTGATGGATCTTAAAAGCAATCAACTTAATCAACGCTCAACGCATACGTCAATATTACACAAAAAAACAAATAATATGAATTTAGGGCTTGCGTGCAAAAAAGATCCCTCTCAGTTTCGGTGTTCTAGAATTTCCCACTGCACTTTTACTCTTTATGGGAAAAATAGTCTTGAGGCAAGATGGAACTTTAATTGAATATTCCTTTTAATTGACTAACAATACCTCTCCCAAAACGGTTATAGGACAAACCGTCAACGATTTTTTGTCCACGCACCTGTTTTTCCCAATAATTTACGTCCGCGCGTTTTTTCGGCACGGAGGTTTTGGTCCACGTGCCAGTTGAGACCCAAAGTTAATTGGTCCACATGTAAATACAAACGACAATGGACCACTGGACAAGGTACGAATTTAAGCATTCTGATACATGTATCTTAACCAGAATTTCACGTAGAACACGATTCGCGCAACGAAAATTACTGAGACCAACTCCTAACGAAGCTATTAACATTTTTTTTCACATTGGTTACGAGGAATTTGAACTGCCCGCTCTCAAGAAACTCAAAGCTCTACGTGAGTCAAATCGCGCACTACAACGGTTTCAGCAATCTTCTCAATCGAGCAATGTTCATTTCCCACCATGTGTTTGTCAAACTATAAGTAATTTGCTACTGCTGAGCCAAAGTGTCAAGTTTGAGGTTGCCAGATGTTTTCATCGCAGAGATGTTCATGATAACGTTCACGAGCGACGTGAATGACGTAGCGCATTGAGTTTTCATGAGCGGGTGGTTTGAATTCACGCGTCAAGAATCGTTAATAACTTCGGAAGGAATTGATTTCGGTAATATTCGTTGTGCGCATCGTGTTCTACGTGAAATTTTGGTGAAGAAACATGTATCAGAATGCTGAAATTCGTACCTTGTCTAGTGGTCCATTGCTCACGACGTTTTTGGATGAAAATGTATAATGTCTTGGAAGAATAAGGGTTTGCATGTTTTTTTTTTTCTTTGCTTTCTTTGGTTGTTTAATCCAACGGAGAATAATATATAATTGAGATTTTTGGTAAAAATGAGGGAGCGATTAGACAAAATTCACTAAAACTCTCTACATCTCTTTGGTGTAACAGGACTTAATTACCTTTCAAGAAATTCCCACCTTGTTATACCTGAACCGGATGAACCTCTTGATTTGCCTCAGCTAAAGGCTCTTAGATTTTTCCTGTGTACGATAAGTATCTTGATTTATTTTGCGAGGAAACATCTTTACTTTTAAAGGATGCCTGTCATTCTTAATACGTTCAATTTCGTATAATACTGTGCAACACCTCTGTTGTGTAATAGTTGCTTCAGGCGCCGCCGCAGGGCGGGCGGGCGGTCAGCGCTAAACGCGCATTGGCGCCTACAAACTTAAGTGGATACTTCAAGCATTGTACAATGCGAGAAGTATCCACTTGGGTTTGTAGGCGCCAGTGAACCTCTCACGCTGGCAACACGCCTCTCCGCTTTGTTAGGCTCTAATATTTATACTCGCATAGTCAGCGTTTTTCAACTGATGATTTTGAGATGTCTGCACACTCTGCATTGATTATTCTCATTTAAATTGATGAAAAAAAATAAGGATAAATTTATCAAAGGAGAGTAATGATATAATGTGTTTTTTTTTAAATATTGGTGGTTTCGTGTCAAATGTAATGATTTCCAAGGCACTTTAATTTTTTATTTTACATTTTGTGCTTTTACTGTTCTGCAGCGAGGTGTACGCGCCATCAAACGCTCAAAATTTGACGTATTTGACTCTAAAAGATCGATGTACAAATGGGTTCAAAGTAAAGATTGCGTGTTTCTTGGTTTTTTTTCCTCTCTTATTCATTTTTGCAGTTTCTTTCGGCACAACTGCGGCTCATTGAGATTAATATCGATGTCATCGCTTGGAAAAGGGTTTACAAATATGTGTCACCTTTTAAAAATACAAATGTTTACAAAATGAAGTAATAATTTCGTAAAAAAAAAAATTAAAAAATAAAAAAGTACCTATACGTATGTAAGGTATATTGTACATCGATTATTTTAAGGATGAAAATAAAACCAAATATTCACCAATGAGGATTTAAAAAGATGATTCAAAAAGAGAAAGTAACATTTCATTTAGAAAATGAGCAACCATAACAACACCTCCTTCTCTCTCAATTTCATATTGTCGATAAAATTTTACATTCCGACTAAAATATAACGCTTGGACCAAGTCACTGTTGCTTATTTTACGTGTGGGCGTAAACTACTGGACAAAAAAGGTGCGCGGACAAAAAATCGTTGAAAAATTGTCCTGAAACCCTCAAGACACGATCTCAGCCTGTTAAAAACGATCGTTTTGGTGAGTAAAACATGGTACGTAAATTCAGTCTCAAAACCACGTACCATGTTGACGCGATATGGTGTCAACATGAAACCGAAATGGTCAAACCATCAACATGGACCAATGACAGGACTAAGTTGGTACTATGTTGGTACCTTGTTGAAACCATGTTGGCGTCAATATGGTACCATGTTTCTGTCCCCAACATGGTGCAGAGATGGAACGCAACGGATCAAGTTGGGACAACATGGTCTCAACATGATACCCATATGATCTTTTTTAGCAGAGCAGTTTAATGATTCAATGAAGAGGTGTCCTCAGGGAGGAGGTTTTCCTCAATTGTCTGTGGTTATTTTGAAATTATGAACGATAAAGTGTCCTTCTTTCACCCATTGCCTCAATTGGACGTCACTAATCAGACATGTATTCGCCTTGGAGAGGAGTAACGAATGTTCCGTCCAAAGCACAGTACAGCTCTTCAGTAGGTAGACGCTTCTTCCGAAAGCTACTAAAAATGGATTTCTTCCCTTAAATGGCGTATGAGCTTGCTTTATTCTTGTTCTTATCATTTTCCAGGTGGAGCGGGTGAAGGAGAACAGAGGTTAAAACCTGACGGTGCGGCGAAAAATCTGAACCAAGTGAAAACTGATGCATCGCTACCAGCGTATTGCAATCCCCCAAATCCATGTCCTATTGGTTACACAAGTAAGCTTTCTCATTTTTTCCATCAATTCTCCAATATATATTTCCATTTCCGTAGTATGACGTCAAAGTGACGAAATACTTGTATCCTGGCGTACAGGGAATAATGCCGTATAAACCTTCGGGCGTCGCAACATTTTCTTGATAAAATACGTATTTTATGTGAAACCTCTCAACAGCTATTCTTCCAATTGTTCACAGAGTCGAGTTCGCATTTTAATCAAGGGTACCTCTGTCTGAAAACAAGAAAATTATCCGCAACTTCTCTAAAATATGAACATTTTATCGGGGGAAATGTGCCTTCATCGGAATATTTATACGGCATTCTTCATTATCACAGCAGTGTAGTGTAAGATCGTTCCTCAAAACCGGCAAGAGCGGAAGCGAACTTCATCAGCGATTTTCTCAAATTTCCTCTCTGAATTGCTGTCGAAGGATCAACTTTTAGTAATTTTGGGTGTTCATTGCCCCAAATTTTACAAAATGAACCCCTCTAAGCTGTTGTACAGTCAATTCATTAACCCTCCCCCCACCTTAAAGTTTATTTTGCCTCCCTGCATCACATTATTTCAGACTCCTACGAGCTGATTGTTGAAATTGACGGACAAAGCTATAGACAAAGATGGCAAAAGGGCTATGGAGGGATACTATTTGGTGGAAGTGGCTGGTTGCAATTGACGAAGGAGGTAGGTAGTAGACTAACTAACCGCAACCCACGAGACCCTATAATTAGTCCATCATTTACCCCCTTAGTCTTTAGAACCATCCTTTTCAACCAATAGGATCGCCCCATACTCCCTTGGGAATTCTAGTCTTCATCTATAGCTTTTTCTATCCATGTCAACGATCAGCCCGCTGAAAGTTCTCCTTTGGTGTAAGTACATAAACTGATGAGTCAGTTGCGCTGGTTACAGAATCGTGTTTTAATGCTTGATTCTTGTAGATCAGCTAACAATAATAAGATCTGTCCAAACAGCAACGTTCTACGTTCAATAATAGCCGAGATATCGCCCTTTGAAAAGTCTGGTTATTGACGTCATCCGCCGCGGTAGTGACACCCTTGGTTTCTTCCACCTTCGCTCTCATCAGTCGGTGTGACGCACATTTGTACTGGTTACTTCACGTGTGACTCGGATGAAAGCAAGGTGGAAGAAACCAAAGATGCCACTACTGTGATGGATGATGTCAAAAACCCTACTTTTCAAAGCGCGAAATATTTCGATGAATTTTGAACGTAAAGAGTTGCTGTTTGAACAGATCTTACTATTTTTGGATAATCTACAAGAATGTGTTTTTCCTGTTGGAAATAGGTGAGGACGGTTGCTTAGAGGAGTTCGAGAACACGGCGCAGTTCAGTCGGGACTTCCAAGCGGCGCAGGACTGCATGTGTGACGTGGAGCACATGATGGACTGCTCAGCACGAGAGTTCTCCCACAACGACATCGGCATAGACTCCATTGTCAGCAGCTTGCGTTCTTACCAGGTGGGTGATTTACCTGAAAAATTGTCACAGTCATACTTCATGTAATGGGAGAAGATGATCATTATTAAGTTCCGTTTGGAGAGGATAGAGATGAAATGGACCACATCTTGCAATTAGGAACTGCAATTTCTGGCTCATTCCAGAATCACCATATAAGGGGCTTGGAGGTCAATGCGCTTAAGTGCAGTTTTTTCTATTCCGAGAAATACGTCTTAGAAGTTTCGAAATTACATGGGTCCTAATGGAGGTAATCAAGTTCGAACTAACTTTTTGATGCTTAAAATTGGAATTTGGGAGCGAGTTTTCACAGACTATCGATTAAGACTAGTTTTACTTGAAATCATTAATAACTCAATATTTTCAAAAAATGCACTTAAGCCACTTGTCCTCCAAGCCCCTTGCCCCTCATATGAGCCATTAGTTTCCCCTCGTAGATAGTTGTTTTCTTTATGAGCCAGAAATTGTAGTTCCTAACTGCAAAACTTTGCCCTTATAAAGTATCTACCACACAGTTGATGGATAGGACTTTAGCGGCAGTCAATAGATGCTACTATTGCTGCTTTGCGGATGGTCGGGTTGCGTGCAGACATAAATGAAGGCGCTCTGGCTTCCCTTGCGCTCAAAGCTTACAATTACCAAGGAATGTACAGAAAGATGCCATAACTTAATACACCTGAGGAAGGTGGTACTGTTTCGAGAGGAAGAAATATTTCACTGAAATTCCAAAACATGAATTCAGTGTACGACTACCTATGGCTTACCTCTGATTACGCGCAAAGCGCGCCAAAAACATTATGTTCTTACATAGATTTACTTCAAGTGGAGTAAAACGTTTCTAGGATTGCAACGTTGCAGAGAATTCCCGCTGGGTCCACTTTACAATCTTGTTGTTACAATCCTGCAACCGATTTCGATTTTAATTGTCTCTAATCCTACGTGAATTTACACTTCCAGAATCCGAATCCATTCCTGCAAGGAGAAATGCTACCAATCGCAGCCAAAAAGGGATTCAACGTGAGGGTGTAATAATTTTTCTACGATTCTAAATCGCACCAAGAACTACGCACAATGAGTAATCTACGTACAATTCCTGAATTCCCGATAGCCCCCACCAGATGTCTCCTGCGTTTGTAATTTCCTATCACCGACATTTATTTGCGTATTCACCTCTGCAATTCCGTTATAATGTTACCTAACCTGAATTATATCAAGAGTTTGATAAGTTTACTGTAAGTTTATGCCTGTTATACTTCGATTCTAGGGATCAAGAATTAATAAAAGTTTAAGTTCTTTAACATTGGAGTACTTTTTTGACTAGGTACCCCTGTTCTATTTTTTGCTATCGCGCCTTAACGTATAATACCCTGCATATTGATGGTCAAAGTGCAAAACCTTGTATCTCCGTCTGAAACGTTGCAGACTATCTATCATACCTCATTTTTTCTTTGGAAAACTAGTCAACGTAATTTCTTTAAAGCTTCCTTGATTTTTCTTCTCTGTTAGCAGAATATTCTGTAAAAATTTCAAGCTATTAAGTCGGCTTGTATCTCTTCGAAAAACTGAAATACGAGCGAAAATTTTGAAACACCGCAATTAAGACACTTCGTCGGTAAAACTACCAGACCACGTATCTAATTTGCGGTGTTTAAAAATCTTTGCTCCAATTTTATTTTTTTGAGGGAGAACAAATTAATATCATTTCTTGAAATTTTCACAGAGTTTTCTACCCAAAGACAAGAAAACACGGAAATTCTCAAAAATGGAGATGTTTCATGTGTGAGGGATTTGCGATTCGACCATTGATTCTTATGTAAAAGTTTGCGAGAAACACAATGGTGCTACTGGTTTTCTCTGAAATCATCTCCTAAGCTCAAGAAAAGCTCTCAAAGTGAGGCTAAAATGGAGGGGATATCCCACCCTACCTTGAGAGTCCATCTCTATAACATCAAAACAAACTCTCCATGCAAAGATAGGGAGCAAATACCTACATTGACAGGGCTGCCACTTTATTTGGGGACTCCAAAACTGAAAACACGGCATCACTGCTAATGTATTTGCTCCCTATCTTTGCATGGAGAGTTTGTTTTGATGTAGAGGTGGACTCTCATGATAGGGTGGGATATACCGTTTCCATTTTGGCCTAACTTTGAGAGCTTTTTTTGAGCTTGGGAGATGGTTTCAGAGAAAACCTGTAGCACCATCGTGTTTCTCGCAAACTTTTACATGAGAATCAATGATCAAATCGCAAATCCCTCACATATCGACGGTGAAACTACCAAACCACGTATCTCGTTTGCGGTGTTTAAAAATCTACGCTCACATTTTATTTTTTTGAAGTAGACCAAATCAATATCATTCCTTGAAATTTTCACGGAATTTTCTCCGCACAAAGAGGAAAAATCACAGAAATTTTCAAGACTGGATGTTAAGTAGTTTTTCATTTAAAAAATAAAGTATGACAGGAAGTCTGCGACGTCGCAAACCGAGATACGTGGTTTGGTAGTTTCACCGTCGATATGCAACATCTCCATTGACATTGAGTGCGGTTTACCATTTGAAGAATGAAGCATGACAGGAAGTCTACAACGTCGCAAACCGAGATACGTGGTCTGGCAGTTTCACCGTCGATATGGCTTCGCACTGTAGCCATCGATGAGGATGTATTTTTGCAATCCGGCAATGAATCTACGAGGGTCATCCAAAAAGTAAGTTCACCCCTTTCATATTTCCGAAACTAAAAGGGATAAATCAAATCGGTAAAAAAGAACTTCTTACTTATATCTTCAGCTCTTCATAGGTACCAAGATTTTTAAATTTGGACCACTGGTTGCCGAGATATTCGATTTTTACGTGAACAACTCCCGGCCATTTCCGTCCACCAAACGACGCGCTGATATGAGATGCACCGCGCGCTGTCGCGTCGCTTTTGTCTTCTAAGACTCTCAAAGAGTACTTCTCGTCCATTATTTGGAGAGAAGGTGTACAATCAATGCACCACGGTATTGTGGAATATTGAATTCGTTGCGATTGGCAATAAAAAATAAGCGACCGGGTCTCTTGTCTCGTGGTCCCCTATTCCTTCACGATAATGCCAGACCTCACACGGCGAAAGAGACCCAAAATTTTTTGGACAAATTTGCATGGGAGGATGGGAGGTGTCACCTCATCCTCCATACTCTCCAGACCTTGCCTCGAGTGACTCATCATCTTTTTCCGCAACTCAAGAAGCATCTAGGTGGCCAGCACTTCGAGAACGATCAGCAGGTGATGGAAGCAGTCAATGGCTGGTTCAAGAGACAACCAAAAGTGTTCTTTGAGAACGGCATTAATAAGCTTCAGAAACGCTATGAAAAATGCATCAATAGGAACGGAAATTACGTCGAAAAATAAGGTAAGATTTTTTAAAGCTAATCTTAGAACATTTGAGTTATGGTTATTCCTACGTAGATGTGTGAGGAACACAGTCAATTCAGGTACCTTGACGGGAATCGCAGCGCGTCGTTTGGTGGACGGAAATGGCCGGGAGTTGTTCACGTAAAACTCGAATATCTCGGCAACCAGTGGTCCAAATTTAAAAATCTTGGTACCTATGGAGAGCTGAGGATATAAGTAAGAAGTTCTTTTTTACCGATTTGATTTATCTTTTTTAGTTTCGAAGATATGAAAGGGGTGAACTTACTTTTTGGATGACCCTCGTATGAGCTTATACATTACACTTTTTGTATAAATCCTTAATCCTATGGACAAAACTCCTCTTTATCAAATAATTAATATACCTGTTGGCAAATGCACGGAAGAAGAGCGGTTTGCAAGGATGTCAATTTATTCATGGAACCTAAGAAATTGCTGTTACAATTGTGGATGGCGATTCCAGGAGGACTCCAACGGCGACATCGACACTGACACGGTCTGTCACGGTCAAATGCATAATTTCATAAAAATATCTAATTTGCCTCCGGCCGGGGCCATTGCTCTCCACCGTGCTGCCGTGATGACGAAGAGAGCAGTAAGTGCATGCTAGGATGAACCTCGAGACACATAAAAGCATGTGCTAATTATGGCTCATACAGAAAGGCACTCACTGATCTCTTTGCTATCACGGCAGCGTGGGATTGATTGTGAGAGGCCGCAAATCGATGGCTACAGGATGGAAAAATGCGTATCTTTACTGCAACGTTTCAAAATCAGTGCACTGGAAAAAGAACACATTGGATCTAGAGTCCAGACTCTTAAAAACATCGACAAGAAAAAATACTCTTGATTCAATCAGATTTAAGCTTAAATCAAGAACCAAGCCTCTTCATTTGAGCGGATTT